CCCCACCCCAAATCAATGGCAGCAATATATATTGGATTGAAATTATATTTACGTTAGATTTGTTTCGTCATAGGCAACAAGTGCTGGAGGGAAAGAGCAAGAAGCCATTAATTTCTTAGAAAAAAAGATGAAGAATGATCCGGCATTATCCTATGAAGAAACTGTGCAGGTATAAGACGTATAATGTTGAAAGTCACTATAGATTCTTAAAAGTAAAATAGCTGGAAAGATACTTGAAAAGATACTTGAAAGTCACTTTTCATATATCATCTTAAGCTTTTTTGCTGAATTCTGAGTAAAAAGTTCAAAATGAATTTTGTAAAAGCTTGACTGAGTAACTGCTGTTTTTCTTATTCTCTTGATATGATTTTATTTTGGTTTTAAATGTGAAATTGCATTTTTGCATTCCCTTTTTTGACTTGATCGAGTGATCACAACAATATAGAGATCTATAACATTCATTGTAAACAGTTGTTCATTTATTTAATGTATGAAAGATAAACATGTCAAGAAAAATAATTTCAAAATAAGATAAAGTGAAAGACTATATGTTGATGATGTCGTGTTTTGTTGTGTCAGTATATTTCATGAATTACTCTCTATGGCTTCTTGGGTGATGTATTATTCTGTAATAATCTAAACATTCTTGAGTTCAGTTTGGTTATTATCGGGTAAACTTTGAGTTGAACTACATGGAGTTTTTTGTTTTAAGAGGGTAAAACTAAAGATATGCAATTTATTCGAATTATTACTAGGCTGATGAGATAACTATTCTCTCATACCGTCATACGACTACCAGCATCTGCAATAAAAGCTTGGCCATTATTTATTTAAGAAGGGTATCTAATTTTTATTATTTATCAGTCTTGTAAATAGAATCAGGTGATGGACAACATTTTTATTGGAAAGAGGCTCGATGCCGCTATATATTATGCTGTTTTACTTGAACTTTGTGAGAGCCTCTTTTAGACACTCGAAGAAATCAACTTAAACTTTATTCCTCGGACTCATTTACGAGCCAAAGTTACTTGTATTATACAAGCAAATTGCCAACATTTATCCACATATTTTTTTTTTCACTGAAACGAATGACATCTTCTGTTTGTGGGCACTCAATAGCACAGCTATTAGCCAAAAAATTTCTTAACAATGCCACGTTCTTGTCCATAATTGACCAACTTTTGATCATGATTCGCGAAGTTACTGATAGTTTGACTTTTTCTTTTTGCAGACTGCAATATCAGCTCTACAATCTGTTCTGCAGGAGGACTTTAAAGCTAGTGAGATTGAGGTAAATTCTCTCCAGCGTTTTTGTTTGAAATTGTGACATTTTTCACATCAACTCTTCCCTTCGTTTTCCTCATCAATTTAATGGTGGCCTGTTATTTTTTTCCTGGTGCAATAAAAACTGTTTCAGGTGGGTGTTGTGAGGAAAGAAGATCCAGTTTTCAAAGTTTTGTCAACTGAAGAAATCGATGGGCACTTGACTGCAATTAGTGAGCGTGACTGACCTCATTCTGTCCGGAAAAGGTTATGCTGGCCATGAACTATGTATGATGATGATGAATAGAGAATTTTGGATATTGTCCGAAAATTTGTTCGTATTCTGTCATTATGTACTGTATCCATGGTCGTTTGGCTGAAGTTGAACTTTTGGATTTTCTTTGTTCAGGATGATTTCTGTTGGTTGATCATATGAAAGAAACATGCATATTTTGTCTTGGTGATGATACGTTTTTGTTTGGGACTGAGATCATTTGCTGTGTGTGTGGGTTTTTTTTTTTTTTTTTTTTTTTTTTTTTTTTTTTTGCTTGCTGTTTGAATTAATTTTATAAAAACCGTAAAAAGTCCCAAAAAAATAAAATAAAACCTAGAAAAGCCTTAAAATTTGAAAGCCCAATTGTAAAAAAAAAAATAATAATAATAAAAAAAAAAGTAAAAAACTGATTAGTATGGATTTGGAACCCTAAAATTTGAGAAATACGACTGAATTTATTGGGTTTGATTCAAATCTTAAAGTTTAATGGTGTGATTGGATATGCGTTATTTTGGCTTTGATTGGATTTGTTACTTAATCAGAGGTAATTTTGAAAAAAAATAATTGTGTTTGTTGTGAGTAAAATTTTGAGGTTGTATTAAATTGAAATAATATTTAAAATATAACAATTACAGATAATGATTTTAATTTGGATTTGTTAGTTAATACTCCCTCCTTTTTTAAATAAACTAGTGTGCATCCCGTGCGATGCACGGCGTGATTATTTCTTATTTTTTTTAAACTTTATTTTAATATATTAGCTTGCAAACCGTTTATATTAATAAATAATATTTTAATATCTATATTATGTTTTGATATAGACAAAATAATAATTTTATTTATTTTGGTTCATCATATATAATACTCAACTATCATTTTTTTTTTAATTTATTGTTGTATAATGTCATTGTTATTATTATATATAACACTTATTCGTTATATATATATAATGATAAATATTTAATATACATTAATATTATTTAAAATTGTAACTAATTTAAAAATATTTAAACAAATTCAAAATAATTATTGTGCCATATATGGTAGATGATTTTTATGAGCACCAAAATGGTATTCAAATCTATTAGAGTAAATAACAAATCTAAATATTAATCACAATTTAGAGTAGAAAATTAAATTTGACTAATATTCGACAATATATTAAAATTTGATGAGTGAACACAGATTACCCAAGTTTATTAGTTGGAGAAAAATACAATGTTAAACAAAAAAAATTAGACTATTATTCCAAAACAAATATAATGAAATTCCAAGATTTCCATACAACTTCTCTCACTATCCTTTTCTTTTCGGAATTTAGGACATGTTAAAACTATTCAGAATTTTAATTTTCCCAAATAAAATTCAATCGCTTCTCTTTTCGAAAAAAGCAAGGAAATCAAAAGCAATCGAATCCAGGTGATAGATAAAAATCTACAAACATTTACTGGAACATCCACAAACACACACATAGACGGACGTGTATACGGAAACAATAATAAGCTTGTACTTTTTACCAATGGTTGTCAATGACATCATCGACGCGAAACCCGATGACAAATTCGAAGACTGTGTTGATGTAAATGATCAGAAAAGTGGGCTCCAACGCATCTAACACGACGATCGTCGTCAACAGCGGCGCCCGAGAGTAGAATAGTCGTTCTGCCGCACGTAAAGCCACTTCAGCCCAATGTCCTGGTCCATGTCTTCGGCTTCATCGCTGCACTTGAGCCACTTGCGGAGCAGGTGACCTGGTTGCTCTTCGCCTTCGCTTGCTTCAATGATGAAGAGAAAAATGAGAGACCAAGTGAAATAATGTTTAGTTTTTCTAAAGATAATTAAGATGTATTATATGGAATTTAAGATAATGATTGTATCCCAAAAAATCTGAACGTGATACTTGATCTTTTGGAATATTTACACGATCATAAGAAAAATATGGATTGGAATAAAAATCGGAAAATTTACCAAAATAAAACGTGAAAAAAAAAAGCGAGTGAATTAAAAATGTACCAAATCGGATTTAAAGAAAAAGGTAACAAATCTCATCTCATCTCATCCTAAAGAAAAGGAGTTATAACAAATTTAACAAAAAACAACCAAATCTCATCCTAAAATAAAACAATCCAATTTCCTTAAATCACATTCAAAATCAAATTATTTAGTTAGGCGGGAAAACGAAAAAAATTGAAAAAATCACTTAGAATTTTGAAATGTTTTGGAGGGAAATATACTTTCCAAAAACTTATTTTTTCTTAACTCTATTTTATAATAGTAGATTATTTGATCTTATTTGATAACGTGTAAATAGAAGCAATTAATGCATATATAAAAAAATTCCCAAAAATAGCATGCATTAAATGTTTTTTAAATTTTTGCTACTATTTTTAGTAAATGTTAATTCTTTTTATATAGATATAGATGTCGTTTTGACTTTTTTGATTCATCCATTTTGCTATGTATCTAGACATTAATATGTCTAGATACATAGCAAAATGGATGAATAAAAAAAGTCAAAACGACATTTATTTAAAAAAGGAGGTAGTAGTTAATTTTGAAAAAGTTTATTGAATTAGTTTTGAGTGAGTTTTGAATTTATAATGTTAAAGATGATTTTATGTAAAAGTAGAGAAAAATTGATGGGAAGAGATGAATAGTTAAGATTATGTGAGTGAATAAATGATGAGTTGAAGTTGATTTAATGTGCACCGATGTTTAATGGATATTATTTAATTATATTAATCACCTCTAAAATTCTAGAATTTTTTACCAGAAAATTATAAAAAAGTTAAGTTGTGGAAAAAAAAATACACAAACAAATGAGAGTGGACCATAATAAAAAAACTCGTATTCAATGAATACGTTTTACCATTTTTTTAATTGTAAAACGTATTCATTGAATACGTTTTCTTCTGAAAAAAATTCTGAAAAAACGTATTTAAGGAATACGTTTTCTATACAATTTGTACAGAAAGAGTATTCCTTAAATACGTCCTTTTCATTTTTGTCCACTCCTTTTTTTTTTCTTTTTTTTTGTTGTCCACAT